ACCCCCCAAAACAAAATAAAACAAAAACAATACTATTTATTCTAAAAAAGTAAAATATTTATGTATAAGTCTAACAAAACATTTACAGGACTTATATGCTGACAACCATAAAACCATATGAAAATACCAATGAAAGAAATCAAAGGAGATCTAAAAAAATGGAAAGGTATACTATGTTCATGGATCAGAATACTCAACATAGTGATGATATCAATTCCCAAGTTGGTATACAGGTTTAATGCTATTGCTATCAAAATCTCAGCAAGATTTCTTATAGATATAGACAAGATTATTCTAAAATTTATGTAGACAGTCAAAGGAACTAGAATAGCTAACACAATTTTTAAAAAGAAAAAAGCAGAATGAATTAGTGTACCCAATTTCAAAAACTTACTACATAGCTACAGTAATCCAGACTGTGTGATATTAGTGGAGGGATAGACACATAGTCAATGAAACAAGATAGAGAATTCACAGATCCTGAGACAACTTAGGTGGAACAAAAAAAGAGTCTAGAAACAGACCCATACAGATGTACCAAACCAATTTTTGACAAAGGTGCAAATGAATTCACTGGAAGGAGAATGGCCTTTTAAACAAATGGTGCTGGAGCTATTGGACATTCATCGGCAAAAGAAACAATCAGATTTAATTAAACTGCACACCTTTTAAGAATTTAATTAAAAAATGGATCATAGACTTAAAATGTAAAACTACAAACTATATACCTTTAGAAAAAAGTAGGAAAAAATCTTTGGGATCTAGGGCTAGGCAAAAAGTTCTTAGATTTGACATCAAAAGCATAAAAGGAAAAATTGATCATTGGATTTCATTAAAATGAAAAACATTTACTCTGTGAAAGACCCCATTAAGAGGTTGAAAAGACAAGCTACAACCTGGGAGAAAACATTTACACACCACTTATCTGACAAAAGGCTAATCTCTAGGGTACATAAGGAGCTCTCAAAACTCAACAGTAAACAACAGGAAAACAATCCGGTTAGAAAGTGGGCAAAAAACACCCACAGACATTTTGCACAAGAGGATATGCAGATAGCAAAGAAACAAACACAAGCTTGTTCAACTCCAGTAACTGTTAGGGAGATGCAGAGTAGGGCTGCAATGAGATACTACTACACCTTTATCAGAATAGCTAAAATAAAAAAAAAAGCGACAACATCGAAAGCTGGTGACGCTTGTACATTGCTGGCAGGAGTACTGTTCAGTATGAAGGAGCAAACTGTCGATACACACAACTTTGATGATTCTCTACAGAATTATACTGAGAGGAAAAAGCCAATCCCAAACATACATACTGTATGATTTTATTTATATAAAATTCTTGAAGTGGTAAGATTATAGAAATGAAGAAAAGATTCGTGGTTGCCAGGAGTTGGGGGAGGTCGGGAGGGAAGTGGGTGTGGCTATAAAGTGGCCACCGGGCAAAACACAGCGGTCTGTGTGTTGACTGTGCCCATGTCAGTATCCTTGTGATACTGTGTTACTTTACGACACTAGTTTTGCAAGATGTTATCACTGGGGGCGACCGGCTAAAGTGTCCACAGGATCTTTCTCTGTATTACTTCTCACAGCTGCACTGTGAATCTATAATTATCTCAATATGAAAATTTTAATTTCAAAACAAAGGGTACATAAATGAAAGGGGAGAAAAGATACAGGAGAATTACAGGGTGCGATCAGATGAAGGCTGTGATGAAATTCAACAAGGACAGGTGACAGAGTGATGGGGAGGGGGCTTCTCAGAGATGGTGGACAGGGACCGCCCATGGAGGAGGGGGTGACATGCCCTGCCTGGGCCATCGGGGTGGAGAGTCAACCTTGGCCATGGTTAAAATCTCTGGCTGTGTAGACTAGAAGAAATTCACTTCAACTAACTTATGCAAAAGAAGATAATGTATAAAAAGTAATTGTATAAGAACTTTTGCTGCCAATGACAGAAGCCCAATCCAAATTGACTTCAGGGGAAAACAGTTTTTTTTAATAAAAGGAATTTGGGCTCCCGTGATTGAAGAGTCCAAGGATAATGGCTTTAGCTCGGGGATCTGGCTCCTTTTCAAGGCTCTGCTTTCTTCTGGGTCAGCTTCATCCTCAGGCCGGGTGGTGGCAAGAGGGTCCCCATCAACTGCTGGCTCAGATCCCACTGGCTTAGCACCCCAGAGGAAAGAGGAGCTCTGCTTCCCAATAGCTTCAGCCAAAGTCCTGGGGAGTGAGTGTCACGGGTCTGACTTGGGTCACATGCCTGTGCCTGAACCAATTACTGTGGCCGGAGGGAAGCAGCACTCTCGTTGGCCAGGCCGAGGTCATGTGCTCACCAGGAGAGGGTGGGGCGGGGCCAGCCCACATGGTCTGCGAGGAAGGGTGGGTGATTCCTTAGCAGAATCAGGGTGCTGTCCCCGGAAGGAAGAATGGATGCGGGCCGGGCAAAACCAACGTACTCGCAGAATGCCGGGGAAAGCCTGCTTCTGCTTTCTCCATCCTCAAGTTCTGAGTTTCCACCCTGCTGGTTCAAAGAGACATCCCAGATTGAACTAGAATCTCCAGCTTCCCTGCTCCGGAGAGTACCTGATGGGACCAGCTCTGGCCAGATGTTCAGCCCGTGTCCAGTCGTCTTTGAACAGGGAGTGGGTCACCTACTGGACCCTTTGGTGAACGGAGAAGTTCTCGGAGGGGCCAGGCTGACACCCCAAAACTGTCCATTGCAGACACTCAGGGCTTCTGGAAGATCTAAATTAGCTCCTCATCACGAAAGTATCAGGAGAATCTATTAATGGGTTAGGTGTTAAGGGAAATACGTGATTATCGTGGATCCCTTTGGGAAAGGCTGAATCCTCGGATTTTCTCTTGCTTCCCCTGGGGTGCTCGGAGGCTGACAAGGGGAAGAGCGGTGGGCTGCACTGACCATGGGGGATGCGGGGCGGGGGTGATGTTCAGAGACCAGCTGCGTGAGCCAGGAGCAGGGGAGGCCCGGAGTGCTCAGACAGGGCAGGGTTGGAACAGCAAAATTGAGTCCTTGATTTGGGGGAAACCAGTCACCAGGGCAGAGATGGAAAACTGGGACCCAGAAAACAGGCCAGGTGTCACCGGAGCCAGGAAGGCACCCCACTCCTGGGACTAAGTGTGAATGCGCGGTCTGCGCGGTCTCGGTCAGGGGAATGGGGCCAGCCAGAGGCCATTCCTGGAACTGGAACCACTCGGTCCACGCCCACCTTTCCTGTCTTTCCAGATGTGGCTAGGCTGCATTCTCCAGCACCAGGCTGGGCTCAGCACACACCAGGTGAGGGCAGCCAAGCTCCGGCTGTGGAGACAGAAAGGTGCGGAGGAGAGAGCCAGGCAGGTCGTTATGACGTCACCTGTCACAGGGAGAGCTTGCAAACCAAGCCCTGTAGAAACAGGTGGGAAGAACGTTGCTAGGAACGGTAGTAATGACGGCGCGCGTTTCTTGAGTGCCTGCCACGTGCCGGACACTGCTAAGATGTCAATGGATCGTCTTTAACCCTTGAAACAACCCTTGGGGTCATGCTACTGGTATGTCCATTAAAGTGGACATGAGCAACGTGAGGCCGAGTAAGCATCTTGCCCAGGGCACGTGTGAAGAAAGGTGATCTAGCGCTCATGGAAAAGAAGTCCTCATCTTCTTCTCCGTCATCAACTCCGACTAATCTCAGGCATCCTCGCTCCAGTACCCCAAGCCTCCGACAGTCTGTGGAAGGCTCCCTGCTGTCACACGGCTCTGTGCCTTGGCACACACTGGTCCCCTCTCCTGGAAGGCCCTGTCCCCGGGCCGGCTCCCAGCGATCCTACCAGACTCAGCACGAGCACTGCTGTGCTCTGGGTAACCTTCCCTGTTGCCAGCCCCCTTGGACGGCATGATGTGCTGTCCTTGTGCCATGCCGTCATGATTTCTGTCTTATCACTGTCGCAATGTACAGATCATTCTGTCCCCAGACCAGCCTGTGAGTGGGGCGGGGACCATGTCTGTTCTCTACGGCAGCACCTGCTCGTGTCTTGCCCAGAGGAGGCAGCCGGGCAGGGATGCATGCATGTTTGGTGGATGGGGGTGTTCCCTGTCCCTGGCCCACCCTCACCGTGGCATCTCTCTCCTGATCTCTCGGCAGCCTGGCGTGGGGCTCCTTTACCTGCTGCATGGCAGCCTCTGTCACCACGCTCAACTCCTACACCAAGACGGTCATTGAGTTCCGGCACAAGCGCAAGGTCTTTGAGCAGGGCTACCGAGAGGAGCCGACCTTCATAGACCCTGAGGCCATCAAGTACTTCCGGGAGAGGTCAGTGCACACGGGGTCACCTCTTGCCACCACTGGCAATCCGAAGTGCAGGGCCTGGCCTCAGTGGCCACAGGGCCCCTAGTCTAGAAGTGGAATGAGTGGTCTGACAGAGGTGTTCTGGGAGGCTGTGGGGCAGGAGGGACAGGCCGAGCGAGGCAGAGTTTGGACCCCACCGGGTTGGAATTTCTGGGACATTTTAATGTTTTCTGGGGCATGAGGTTGCCTTGGGCTTACGTGATCAGAGCATGAGAAACTCAGAAGGTTTGAGTGTTTGCCATTAGGCCTCGTGCTTCTCAGAATCACGATAAAAAGGCTGAAGTGAGGTTTCCTTCTGGGGCTGTGTCACGGCACTGAGCAAAAAGAGGACCCACTGCGGGATTGGTGATGGCTGCTAGAGGAGGTGGCTCCTCAGGGGCGGGGACTACATGTGGTCACATGAGTCTTCAGAGTCCAGCTGGGAACAGGTGGCAATAAATGGTGGATGGATGGATAGGTGAGTGGATAGGTAGGTGGATGGATGGATGGATGGTTGGGTGGGTTGATAATTAGGTGGATAGATTAATGGATGGAGGAAAGGAGGGAGGAAGGGAAAGGAAGATGAGTAGAAAGGCAGATAGGCAGATGGCTGACTGGATGGATTTTGGAAGCTGGAGTTATCCTTAGGCAGAACTCCTCCCAGACCTCTTCTTCTGATAAAGCCACTCGAAGCCTCAGTGCCCTGAAATCTGGGGTTTCTGAGCCCTCCCTGCAGAGAGTGAGCTCAGTGTTCCCGCTGTATCCACCTCGCCTCCCCCTGCTCTTCTCCCGGCTCCACCCAGAGCCGCTCCCTGGTCTAGCACCAACCTACCCCCTGGTAGCAGCTCCAGTCTCTTCTGGGCTGTGAGGGGCGTGGTCCCCCTTCGTCCATCCTGCATCCCTGTGCCGTGGGTGCAGCAGACCCCACATAACCACAGCCGTGCCACTCTCTGACCTGCATCTGCCTCCCGGGCCTGTCGCAGTTGGTGGTAGCAGACATGGGGCCTGGGCTGTTCTGATTCACATCTTGGCCACACCCTAGCCCATCCTACCTGGTGCCCTGTACCTGTAGGGCCCAAGAATGATCAATGACAATTTCCTCTTGAGAGAGGAGAGACAACAGCAGCCCTAGGCCAGAGTCAACCATCACAACTGCTATTTATGGAGCATGAGTTGTGTGCCAGGCCCTGAGCCCCAGGCATTTAATTTCATCCTCAGGACCCCCCTATGCAATTAGTATGTTAGCCCCATTTACAGATGAGGAAAACTGAGGCTCAGAGAAATTAAGCCACTTACTGAAGCTTGCACAGTGATGGAGGTGGAGTTGGGCCCTAGGTCTGTGTGGCTGTCTTCAAGACTGAAAACAGAGCTGGCAGTGTCCCCAGGGATCAGGCCACCCAGACAGAAGAAGCAGAGCTGGGATCACACCCAGGCAGCCGCCCGGAGTCCAAGCAGGTGCTGTGGTGCCCTGGACAGATGTGCTCAGTGCTGGTGGTTCGTGTGCAGGCTGGGGGCCTCCTCCTGCTCTCTCTGCCCCGTGTGCTTTGTCTTCCGCAAGAGGGAGCTGGTGGGTGTTGGTGGACAAAGACCCCAGCTTCCCGCGCCTGGGTGAGACAGCGCTGGGGTGTGCTCTGCAGCGCCTCTCAGAGGTCCCCAGCGGGACTGGGTCCCAGGTACCCTCAGCAGGGACCTGCCTGTCAACACACCCTGTACTGGCTCCTCCCTTCCCCTCTCCACTCCCCGTGTGTCCTGGCTCCTCCTCCCCAGTAAACTACCTGTCCCCAAATCCTTGTCACTGGGTCTATTTCTGGGGGAGCCGAATGAGACATGCAGTGATGCCTTTCCGTGGCATGGAATTGAAAGGGCCTTGGGGCCGGTGACAGCAGAGGAGGTGCATGGGGGCCATGGCGGGGCCACACGGCACCCTCTCTGTCACAGAGCCCTCTCTTTCCTCTGCCACATGAACCTCTTTTCCATCCCTTGACACTCCGTGCTCAGCCCCACCACAGGGCATCTGTCCGTGTTGTGCCCCTGCCTGGAATGCTCCCGTGAGGCCTTCCCTGGTCACCTCATCTAAACGTGCACACCCCATATACCCTGGCCTGGTCACGCTTTATCCTGTTGCTATTTTTGGTAGCACCTGACACCCCCCGCCAGTGTTTTCTTGCTTCTCTGCTTGCTGGTTTGCAGGCTGTGAGCTCTGTGGTCGAAGGTCTTTGCTGTTTTGTCCCCTGCCGTTTCCTGAGCCCCCAGCGTTGGGCTGGACATTTATAAGTGCCCATGCAGGGTTTTCTGGTGACCAGCTGGATTCTTCCCTCCCTTTGGAGGCCTCAGCCCTGGCTCCCTCATGCCCTTTCAGTGCCAGCCCCACCGCCATCTCGCGGATGCCGAGTGCCAGCACCTCCACGCCAGAGCCCCGGGAGAGAGGATGTGACTGCCCGGCGTAGGTCAGGTGTTCAGCGCCAGGCCGGGCAGCGGTGGCCAGGGAGGTCAGGCTAACCTGGTGCACGCCTCGCCTCGCCCCGGGCTGTGGAAGGTGCAGTGCCCAGCGTGGCACGGGGCCCGGAGCAGGCACTCGGTAAGCGTTCAGAGCAGGCACATAAACAGCCTGATGGCTGAAACTGCCCCATTAACGCTGCAGTCAGTCATCATCTCGGTGAGGGGAGATCGGCCTCCTGGGGCATCGGAGGGTAAAACGCACCTCGTTCTGCTGAGGCAGAGGACAGGACCTCTCCGAACGCCATCAGCAGGAAGCTGCTGTTCGCTGGTGCCCCGGTTCCAATGGTCCCCAGCAGCTCAGGCCCAGGACGGATGCTCGGCGGCATGTGTGGAGAATACCGCTTTACACATTCATGACCTGAACGTTGTGTGGAGGTTCATCGGACGTTGTTTCCCTTTCCCTCTGAGGAGAGCATTGCAGCTTAGCTGCGCTGTTCTATTTCTTTTGCTTTTTTTTTTTCTTTTTGTGCCTCCCTACAAGGAGCTCAGAGCACGCAGATCTCTGCACAGGTTTGCCGGGGGTTGAGCGGGGGGTCCAAAGCGGGGCTGAAATCCCGCCGTGGCTGGTGTCCCTGAAACCACAGCCAGGGACACAAGAGAAGGAGATCCATGGCCCCACCTGCCAATGTGTCCTCCTCCTTGGGGGACAGAGGGTGCGGTGGGAAGAGCAGGGGTTTGGAGTGAGTTTTCCAGTTTCTGTCCTTTTGCTGCTGTGTGACTTGGGGCAAGGCAGTGAGCCCCTCTGGGCTTGTTTCTTCTGACCCATGATGGGAACGTCCAAAGTTCTCCATGTCTAGGGAAGGCTGAAATTTGATCACCCATGTGACATGCTGGGCACAGTGCCTGGCACGTGGAGGGCTTTGTGTGTGTGACAGTTCCTGTCCCTTCTGCTCCTAATGCTGGACCTCAGAGTGAAGCATGAGCTTGGCAGTGACCAAGAGGTACTGCTAATAATTATAGCTTGACCTGAATCAGGCCCTCCTCTGAATGACTTAGATGTGACTCAGTTAATGTCCCCAACACCTCTATGAGGTGTAGGTGTTATTGTCATCCCCATTTTATAGACACAAAATCGAGGCACAGAGAGGGAGAGTGACTTGTCCAAGGTCACACAGCTGGTGAGTGCTGGAGCTAGGATTTGAACCTAGGCCACATAGTCAATCCCCGTGTTGTGCATCTTCTTAGGCCTGATCGGCAGTTGTGCTGGGCACTGAAGTGGGACCTGGCACATAGGGAAGGGGAGTCCCACAGAGGAAGAGCTCACCTTGTGAGGGGCAGGCAAGGTGCAGAATGGGGGTCTGGGGTAACGCACGCCCTGGGATGGGGTGTGCGGTCTCCCTGATGCCCTGCCGTTCCTCTCTGCAGGAGAGGCCTTTGTAGAGCCCACTTCATCCTGGTCTTTCACGCTGTCCTCCTGGGGACTGGGGTCAAGGTGGTGCCCTGTGGGGGCTGATGGCCAGACAAGGCTTGGACTGTCCCTTTCCCACCCCCACCCCGACCCAGCTCCTCGTAGATAGTTCTCTGCAAGAGACGATTGCAGGTCTAAGGACCAGTTGGGCAGATTCTGAATGGTTTTTAGGGCCTTTCAAATACAGTGGTGTGTGGAAGAAAGGTGTGTGTGCACGCGTGTGTGCGTGTGCTCACGTGGCAGGGCCAGTATTCACTTATGTCAGGTTTGGGGGGCAGGAAAAGCCTGTACCCCCCTTGCCTGAGAGCAGCCTCGCCTGTCCCAGCTCTGAGGAACATCCCGGATCAGCATCACCCTGCCCGCCGTCCCCAAGGAGGGTGTGTTAATTGGGCCTCCCAAAGGGAGGGTTGGAAGCTGCCGAACGAAAGGTAAATATTTGCAGATTGGGCTTTCTTGAATGCTTAACGTTCAGATCTGGTTTAACAGTGTGTGCAAGAAAATGAGACCTGTTGCATTAGACTCCAGAGGGAATTCGGCCGCCCTGAGCAAACGTCCCGCCCCACTCAGGAAGTGGCAGCCTGTGGTTGACAAGGCCCTGGAGCTCCCTGAGGGCAGCCCCAGCTCTGGGGACAGCCTCGTCCCTGGGCCCCTACACCTGTCTCTGTGGCACTGGGACTCTCTGAAATTACTTGTTTATGTCCGTACCCTTCCTACGTGCACTGCACTCCACGAGAGCAGAGCGCTTGGCTTTCTCTGTCCCTAGCACCTAGAACCACAGGGGCTCAATAAACTATGGCATTAATTAATAATAATCATATTGTTAAGTGTAGTAGAAAGTTATGCAGCGATTTCTGTTGCAGGCATGGTTTGAGAGCCTGGCCCGTAGCCATGCATTTAGCCTTTGTGTCGTGCATGAAGAAATAGACCGGGGTGGGAATCAACTCTGCAATTGACTAGCTGCGAGTCCCCGGGCAGGTCACTCACCTCCCAGAGCTTCAGTTTCCTGGCTGGAAAATAGATGAATGCCCACCTCGAAGCTTTGTTGTGAGGGTTACGTGAGATGCTGCAATGAAGTTTCTGGCACAAAGCGGGGGGTTCCTTCTCCCTACACCCCCCTCAGAGACCTCCTTCTCTCTGTACGGGGCAAATAAGACACACTCCCTGCCTGAAAAGGGGGCATATAGCTCACGGCAAACTGGCAGCCCTTGGGGAATGCTGTCTGAAGATATACATCGTTTGACCCCATGGTGGTTTCAAAATTCTTAAATTTTGACTGAGTTACAAAAACCAGGAGATTTTACATTAAAAATCGAGGTTTTTGGCTTCTCATGAAAAAGATCTGGCCACACTGGCCTGTGTTCATGCAGGCGACAATGGCCTGAGGCGTTTGAGTTTGCAGCCCCCTGCTCACAATCTAGTGCCCTCAGCAAAGCACTGTGGGTACTGTGGTAGAGACTCCTGGAAGTGGCTCCAGGCGGGAGGGGTCAGTCCCACCCTGGTGGGAGGTATCGGATAGAAAAAGCTTCACAGAAGAGACCCTCGAGCCAAGTTTTTCAAGACCCATGAAGCATTCACCGGGCAGACTGGCGGTGGGTGAGGAAGGGTGTTTCAGGCACAGGCAGGGGCCAGGAGTGGCCAGGAAACTAAGTGTATTTAGGAAGATCTGGGTGTTGTGGTGTGATGTGAGAGTCAGGTGCGAGCGGGAGCTGAGACTGAGTCTCAGATTTCTCCTATCCTCCCACAGTGCTTGAGGTTGGGGGCTGGGGGTGGCAGCTATTCGGCTATTCCTGGGATAATTTTACCTCCTGAGAGAGAAGAGATGGAGTAGAAACCGTCCCACAGCCACAGTCCGTGATGCCAGCCCTCACCGGGCTCCGAGCTGACCCACAGCAACCAGACCCCGGGCCTGGGGGGACAGCGTGGACATAAGTCACTCCACACGGGGGAGGGGAGACCTCACTCCGGCCCCGCACACATCTCAGGATCGGCTCCGGCGGGGATGGGTGCGGCGACCCCGTGCCCCACCGGCTGTGTTCCCTCTCTCCTGTCTTTCTGAAGGGCTCGTCTCCACTTCGTCACCCCCATTCGCCCCGCAGCCCACGCCTATCTGGCTTCCTCCCCCTCACTCCACGGAGCCGCCCCCAGCAGCCTGGCGCTGCGCACGCCCACCTCGAGGCTTGCTCTTTCCTCGCCCCACGAGCCACTCCTCCCGCTCACAGGGCGACCGTCCCCGCCTCCCTTCTGCTCCACGTTGATCATGGAATCATCGTCCTCCGTGCCCACGTGGCCGACGACGCTGACATTCTGAGAGTCCCCCCACCGCACCGCCCAGTGCCACACCCAGTCGCCTCCTTGGCAGTTCCACTTCGGATTGTCAAAGGCCCCTCATGTCAACACGTCCAAGTCTCCTTCATGACACTCACCCTGACCCCAGCTCAGCTTACGGGTCTCTCTCTGCGAGTGGCTCTGCTCGTGCAAGCCGGACACCTGCACGTCCCGACAGACGCCCCGTCTTCACCACCCCCAGGGCCCTCCTGTCACCACAAGCCCAGTGCATTCTCCACGTCCGTGCAAAGCTGCACAGGGCTCACCGGGGCGAATCTAGCCGCCTCCTGGCTGGTCTTTGCACGCCCACTTTTGTCCCCTCTAAGCTGGTCTCCCGTGGCGGCTGGAGTGCCTCTTCAATACGGCGATGCGGTCAGGGTAACGCCACCCCAACTTTCTGCCTGAAACACTGGAGTGGCTTCCCACGGCCGCCAGGACAAAGACTCAATTCCTCGCCATAACTTCTAAGCCTCACGGTGTACCCCGTGCACGCAGCACCCCCCAGCCCCCTCCCCATGAATGCAGCACCCCCTCAGCCCTGCAGTTCCCCAGCCCGGCCATTCTCCTGCCTCCGTAGCTC